TTCTACTGAAAAAGACTCACTGAGCTCCCATGGCGAGCAATTTAGTAAATTAGCAACGTGATGCACCGCCTGATCCAGACATCTCTGTTCTGGGACCAAATTCGACGTCCTGTCGTTTTTCAGGTCGTAATAAAGCGACCGTCTCGTGATGGTCGAGTTTGTAATTAACAAACGATGCACCGTGGCCATCACGGTCATCATTAAAGCGAATCTGTCTTTGCCTCTTTTGGTACGAAAGTTGGCCACTGTCCTAGTTCCGTTTCGTTCGATTCCATCGAAATTCTGACCCAGTTCTTCGTGAAATTCTGATTCGAAATCATCGTCTTCGGCTGTTTGCGTGTCTACTGGAATATAATTTCCTGATAACGAGCTCGAAATTTGTGGTAAATGGCCGGAGCATATTTGTTGGATTACTGATGAAGTCACTTGCTCGATACGAGCTATCAATTGTTTCCTAAATATCATGAAAAGAATTTTATACTTTCTTGTTTAGGAATTTCTTTTTTAAATTCGAAATTTAATTTAATAAAAGATATTTGAAACACTGAACGGGGAATCACCTTGATTCTGTATTATCTACCGCAGGTAGATCGACTGTCTTTTCTCCGACGTCTCGTGTTTGACTGTCGATAATTCGGAATCCTGTATTTTTATTCATTTGTGACATTTTTGTCTGCAATGAATGATTTAATATGTAGATAACATTGTATTTTCGGATAACTCGTAATTTTATTTTCATAAAAATTTCAACAATAATTTTTAACCAATGGTATTTCTCAGAACAGGTAAGTACGAAAAAATGTTAAAAATCCTGACAAAATGTATTTTTCATAACTAATACTTAATATTATTTCTTTTCAATTTCACAAGTTTTATAAATTTAATCAGTTTAATTAGTTTCTTCGTCCATAGATGGCACTAGATAGAATTTCATCGTTCTCTGCGACTCTGTTCCCACAAACTTTCTTATCGACACTGTTAAAAAATGGAAATTACCATTGTCTCTAGAATTTTGAGCTAATTTGCTGAAATTTCAAAGTACAAACGTCATGTGAAAAACTCTCAAGATCGAGAAGCTTTCTAAAAAAAAATGGTAAATTGGGTAAATTGCTTTGGAATTTTTATTCTAGTTCTAATTTTTTTTCAATAAAAATTGCATAATTACAATTTAACCTTCTGACTCTTTGGTTGTAAATTGCACTAGAGTAGCTCTCCGCAAGGAAATTTTAGCATCTGGCAAAACTGGGAGAAACGAATAATATATTAATTTCTATAAAAATATACTTTGATTATTTTTTTTCTTCAATCTCACCAATTTTCCATCATATCAATCCATCATATCTCAAACTATACATATATAGCGTCGGAAAAATTTTCAATTTTCGGAGCGACAGTTTCTTCTTGTCGCCGGAAGCACACGCAAGAAAAAAAAAAAAAAAAAAAAAAAAAAAACGGAAGCGGAAGGCGAAGTCAAGAGGCGGCCCCGTTTCGTATAAAAATCCGGAGTCGATTTTCCGAGCGACTGAAGCACGTTCTGGCCGCGAGTTTAGAAGGCAACGGAGGCCAGATAAAAATCTACCACCTATCCGAACGTAACATTCTCACAGCAATAAACATATTAAGTTGTCGCACGACGGAAGAAGTATTGATCCGAGGTATGAAGCCGTGGCTGTGCAACGATCGACAACGATTTCCCTGGCCGATGAACGACGCTCGTATCGAGTAGCGAATCTCAAGAGAGTCGGACACCCCGCTGTGCATTTGTGAGCGGCGACCATTGAACGCCGCGCTACCGAGTGCACTAAAGACACTTCAGGATCTCATTCTGCAGCACAAAACAGCGGCCGTGCCTGCAAAACGCTCGATTATAACGAAATTCGGCGATCGGCCTCGCCATTTCGTCGGATCTGATAGAAAGATATCTGAGGGAAATACAAATTGCATTGATTTTTTGAAGGTTGAAGGATGGATCGTCAAGAAAAAAATCAAGATTTTCGTTTTTACGTTAAGATGCAACGAGCACGTTGGTTCAGATCTTTTGTATCACGCGTCGCTTGTTTTGTACCTATATCTCTTGAATTTTTCGAAATATCGTTTCTTCCCCATTCCAGAGGGGATCAATGGTACATTCGAATTTTCACTCTACAATTATTCTTCTCGTCGTACTGAAGAATCTTCTCCGGATTTTTGTACATACGTCGTACAATATCTCGGATCATTTCTGCGAATTCAGCAACAACGAAGAATTAGCGAGGACTAGTTTTTAACTAATTTTAAGGATCGTTGTTCTACATCTACACGAGGTTCTCCAGAAAATGAAGATCGACTATGCACGCAGATGGACCATAAATTTCCTTCGTCGTCGGGTATTCCGCTTTTTCACAGACGGTGGCCAAAGCGAAAGGCAGCTTTACCGAAAGTACAATGAATACTAACGAGAGGCCACGGGCATTTGCGACGCGTGCCAAAACAGTTTAGGGTGCACCGAAACTGCCCCATCTCGATGATCTCTCTCCCTCTCTATCCTACGAGCTCTATCAAACGTACGCTCTACTCTCGTGATATCGCGATATCGAAAAAGAAAGGAGAAAGAGAAATACCGTTCGTAACAGTGCAACATCGTGCAAAGGGATTCGATCACGAGTACACAATTTATTTATTTTTTTTTTTTTTTCGAAACGGATTTTGCGTCGCCTTCGCAGCGTTTGTCTCGATGATTGCATACATTGCGGTCGCCCGAGGCTGTCGAATCGCTTCCCGTGCCCCCGACGCCGCGTGCTTGTACGTGCAAACCGGCAGAAGTAGATGTCTCGTCTTGAAGGCCCGCGCCGGGCCTCTTTTACCGTGCATAAAGGGATTATTCACGACAAAATAATACAAGAACGCCGCTCGGTTTCGCATTAAAGACACTTCAAGGCTGCTCTTCTATACTGGACCGGGCGGGGAGAGAGGAGCCGGGTGGGGTGGGGGGAGGGAGGGGGGATAGTGTTACATTGTGCAACGAGTACGTTCGAGGAACGCACCCCTGAGAATGCGCTCTCCAGCCCTCAAATGGCCCGTATACGACCCCGTCCTCCTCAAAAACATCGGTTGGATATCCACCGAGCGTCATACGAAAATATATGCCTAATCTTTCATGTTTTCACGTGTGCCCACAGACGAGACGCGGCTAATCCTAATAAAAGACGGGTTTAGAGTAGTCGAAGAATTTATTCCTTCCTCGAGGATTTGCTCCACGAAAATACGAATCTCCGTGAATCTCCGTGCATTTTCCCCGAGTTTCCGAGTCGGCGAACTCGTGGAATTCGATCTGAATTTCGTGGCCACTTCCGGCGGTGGTGGTGCGAATCGGTAATACGAGCCGAAGGCTTCTTGTTCCCTCCCCTAGACGGAATAATCGCGCGTAAGCCCCGAGACCGAGGTAATCCCTTCGCGTTTCATTCGATTTCATTGATCGCGAACGAAGGCTCGTTCCCGTATTGAAACGTCGAAACGTGACATGATCGAGTGGCGAGAATGGCCACTGGTAACCTGTTCGATTCGCTCGGCGACGACCATTTGTCAAGTCTGTTATATCGCGAGCGTGTAGGGAAGCATTTACCTGTGAATGTTACACAGTCGAGGAGTTACAAAGGTTCCTTTTAACCAATAAGTTATGGACAACTTCGTTCAGAGCTGTCGTAAGCCTGTCACAAATTCTTCTGTCAATTTGTATTTGTTTTGAAAATCAGTTATTGCGATGATCGTTCGAGTGTGTATCGAAAAATCAAATGCACAAGCGCAACTACAAAAATATCGTGGAAAAATAATCGGCGACCTAAAAGTTATTTTAATTAAGATATCAATTAACATATCGAGGATGTCTGAACGACGTCTTACAATTTTGCTCTGTGTCTGACAAAGTATTAAACGCCCAAAAATAAAGGTACTGCGAAAGTTTTTTGTCAGAAATTTTGAGAAAGGATTATTTTTCAAGATTAATCTACCGCCAACAATTATCGAAGTGATTATTCCAGCTTGCTTATAAAAATAAAAAGTAGGTTTACAATTATTTTACATCCAAGCTTTCAAACGAAGCTTTATCGCAATCTCAAGATCGAGTTCCAATCGGATTTTCATCGATCTTTGATTAGAGATTTGGGTGGAGACCACAGAGAACGAATAAAATCAAAAGAATATTTCAACAATCATCCAGGAGCGTTGAAGAACTCGGTCGAAATATCGAGAAATCGGTGGCCCATCTTTTGTAAGAAGCTGTAACAGCCACGACGACACGGAGAAACGTTCCGTTCAGATCGAATCTGCGTCAGCTTCTCGTGCTGTTAAATCAGGACAGATAGCATCGAATTTGTCCAAACAGTGGGGGTTGAATTTGTCCAAACAGTCAAAGACGCCAGGGGTTGCTTAACGCACGAGCAAGGAGGAGCAAAAGAACGCGGATCGGCCGAGTTCGTAGGAAGAAAAAGTACGTTTCACCGGGCCGTTATTGTTGAGGATGTTGTTCGTTGACGCGAGGAGATTGAATAAAACGAATTTCTTCGATGAAAGCTGTCTGAGCTGATGGTTACCTCCTGATCTTCAATTTGCATGGTCGACACGAAGAAACTTACGTAGATTAAATAGCAGATTCGGTGAATTAACGAAAAGACGAAAGTTCAGAAGATTCTTCAAAAAGCTTCTCAATTTCGGAATTGGGAAATCAAACCTCTGAGTTTTGGATTTTCTTTCAATTTCCTGTCAAATAATGTACAATCGATCGAACAAAAATAGTAATTGCATACGATAGAAAGAGTTTCTATTGAACGAAGCTAGACTTTTCGACTCTTGCTACTACCTACAAATTTCCCCAATTTTTTTTTTTTTTTTTTTGACACGCATCCAGAATGGGTAGCTGGGAACAAAAGTCACGAGTGTACTCATCACAAGTATCGAAGCGTAGTTTCCGAGGGGGATTCGGGAAACCTATCGCGGCGGTCTCCGCATATTGAGAGGAAAGTGCGTTAAAAAGTACTCGAGCTTGGGAAAGTCCATTATCCCAAACGACGAGATTCTCACAATAAATTCTCGACTCTCGATGTCGCGATAGCCACCAAAAAATAATACACATATAAAGTCGATCGAGAGAAGATGATTCTGCAAATGAGTAACACGTGTACTTCTCTCGAGTCGAAAGCTCATCGCGCGCTCGTGCGTTTGCAGCCGATGAAACCTGGGCGCGTTACGCGAATAATTCACGGCAATTCGAACCGAATCTTTCGAGCAGAATCACTTGACGACCAGTCTGTGGCTCTCTTCAAGTCTGGAAACCCCTAATAACAGAGACCTTCAGCTAGCAGAGAGCGAACAGCTCTGCTTTCAAGGATCTTCGAGCGTGGCGAGGAGAAACGAAGACGAAACTGACGAAAGGAGATTTTGAAACAAACGCGAAGGGAAGATACGGGAAGAAGACGAGTGGAAACGAAAAAGAAAGGTAGGCGGACTGACAGAGCCGCGAGTTCGTCGACCTTCGGGCAGATTTGATAGCTGTCACAACGGAGTTCTGTTGCCTCGATGGCAACGCGGTCACCGCTTTCGGACACGATCCGCAGGAGGATCTCGCTCGTTTAGCTTGAGCGAATCCACGGGGAATGGGGAAGGGGAGGGAACAGCATGCCCGGTTTCTTAAGT